CAGATTCTCCAGCATCGGCAGTTCTCACTGCCTCTAAGATTCATATACCATTTTTCCAATTAAAAATGCATTTCTTCTTAACTTCTCCCTCGTCCTTTCACATTTAACTGTTACAATATTACCTTTTCAGTATGATGCATTTGTTGCTGTTACGATAGTAATGTCACATTTCAATAATAGAAATTCTGCTCTTAATGAACATAATCTGTTTCTATTATTTTTATGCCTTTGCAATTTTTTACCGCCTCCAAAATGCATTTCCTTCTTATTATCTGAATAATAAGATGCATCAGCTTTAAAGGGGCTCATTTCTTTTTTCTTATTGTCGATCTGGTTACATGTACTTAATTATTTAATTCCGTCATTTGCTATAATCATCTCACGAGGTCAGTGTGTTCTTACTGCTTTCATTTCTGTGCATAAAGCTTCGTTATGTTGTTTCAATATTAAAGAGGGTGTGCAATTATGTTATTATCAGATTGCTCCTCTGGGTGAAATGACATGATTGTGCATAAACGTAGATAGAATGCATTGGTGATACTAGTACCATGTATTTTATTGCAACCAGTTATGAAAAAGCGCCTGCGTTGACTTACTGCCATCATCACTGTGAAAGTTTTCTTTAAAAAATTAGCTGGAACGCCGTAACCAAGTCACCCTTTATTCACATGTGCACAGTACACTGGCTGTGGCCAGCCAGCTCAGAATCAGTCCCTGATCTGGGGAGGTTCTGAATCCCCCGTTTATAGCTCTTATATTTTCCCAGAGCATCCATGTTTTCTCTGAGTGTAAGTGCAGTCACTCAGTGAAGACACCATTGCGCAAAAAAGAAATTTATTCAATAATCCCACCTCCTGGAAAATGCCTATATGGCCAGTGAACTGGTAAAAAGCAACACCCGAGAAGTGCAATGCTTACGTGAAGAAAGTGAAGGGGCAAGATAGAGATTAAACTAAAATAGAATTGAAGGGGGAAATGAAGCATTCCTTTCCAGTGGTGCCCACATCTGTGGATGCGTTATTATATTGTTGTGATAGCACATTGAGGATCTGTTGGGTTTTGAAATGCAAAATGAACAAAATATTTCAGATTATTGAGATGGTTGAAAAATTGAATATTTTCCGATTGAATTTAATTAATGTATTTATCGAAGGGATAGAATTAAATCCAGAGGTGTTTACAAGCATACATGCATTGTGACGATTGCTATTTGCAGAATAATTAGCATTAGTCCTAATCTTAGCGCTTTGGTTCTGAGCAGCTTAATCATTGTTGAGTTTTCCAACAGTGTATACATTTACATTAGCTGAACGGGGTTATTTTTACACTTAAACTGGTGGAACATATTTGTTGTCATTTACTCCCGCATTTTTGTTTGTGTTGGTCCAAACTAAAGTGTTTTTATTTGCTGTTGTGGATGGTGAGTTCCATTCGATGCTAGGTTATCTGTTTGCACGTATTTCCGACGGTGTGTCGTTCTCTCCTGGTTGCTATAACTTATTTTACTTTCTTAGGCAACATGCTGTTGCTTACCTCCAATACGGGTTGTTGTTATTTAAAATGTAAAAACCCATTTTTCTTCGTCTAAAGTGAATTTCTCACTCTATATCAACATTCAATGTTTTAAATTCAATAAATCCTGTAAAACTGATGACTGTCTTTTGTGTCAAAGGAGAATGTTTTGTTCTTGCTCTCACTGAAACACAGTTTCTTACTTGCTGTCTCGATCTTTCTTTCCATTTCAGCTAACCTGGCAATAATTGTCATCCTATCTCGAAGAAGATGCGGTCTCTCACGATGTATAACCTATTACTTGGTGTCCATGGCGGTGACAGATCTTCTGGTCATGATCACTGCTGTAATATTGAGCCGGATTGCTGGGATTTACTTCCCATCCAGTTTCCTTTCCATCACACCACTGTGCAGTCTTCGTTCTTCCTTAATATATGCAGCCATTGATAGTTCTGCCTGGTTAACTGTTGCCTTTAGCTTTGATCGATTTGTTGCCATTTGTTGTCAGAAGCTTAAAATTAGATATTGTACCCAGATGACAGCAGGTCTGGTTATAGCTATCGTTTCCATTTTAAGCTGCATAAAAAATACATTCATGTATTTTATATACGAACCTATGTACATAGGTAACAACGTTCCCTGGTATTGCGGCATAAAACTTGAATTTTATACGTCGATTGCATGGGCTGTATATGATTTGATTCGTTCTACTTTAACACCTTGTCTCCCATTTATTCTGATTTTGCTGCTCAATGCTCTCACCGTCAGACACATTCTGGTGGCGAATAGAGCCAGAAAGAGACTTCAGACTCGGAGCAACGGAAAACGTCAAAGTGACGCAGAAATGGAGAAACGAAGGAAGTCCATGATTTTACTCTTTGCTGTCTCAGGAAGCTTTATTCTCTTGTACTCTGTATTTTTTGTCACGGTTCTGTATGTCCGAATTTCGAATGTCGCATATTCTTCAGGTTCGGACTTTACAGAATCAAAATTTATTCTCGAGGAAACTGGGTATATGCTTCAGTTTTTCAGTTCCTGCATCAACCCGTTTATTTATGCTGGTACCCAGGGAAAGTTCAGAGAGGAATTGAAGAATGGGGTGAAATATCCATTCAGCTTAATTGTTAAATTATATCAGTTCTCAAGATAAGGAAATCACAATCTATCGAATTCAATTATATAGTTTGCCTATAAAAGCAGCTCAAAGGCTAGGAATCCTTCAACCAGCAATTTAATTGCAGATGCCCAAAGCCTGCTCAAACCCTGAATAAGGTATAATCTGGACTGCGGTGGAATTTTCTTCACTTGCCTCAATGAACGCAACTTAAAATAATTTGAAGAATTTTGACAGCATCTGGGAGAATGTTCCACACTTGTTTGGCAACGTATTCACACGTTCTTTCCCTTCACTACAGCAGTAGCACAGTTTGACATCTGCAAAATGCATTACGAACGTTCCATAGAAACCGTTTTCATATTCATGAATGTTGCTGTCGAGATGCACGTAGGCGTCAGATACTTGAGAACTGTTACTGCAATTTCGCCTTCGAACCACTAAAAAAGGTCCAGTCTTAGATAAGAATCACCATTCCTTCAGTATCTCTGGGTCAAAATCTTGCAACTCTCACCCGACCAGCCCCTTTTGATATAACTTTTTCAAATGGACGTCTGTGTCTCAAGAAAACAGCTCAAAACCATTATTTTAACGGCAACTGGGAATGCGTCATAAGTGCATGCCCAGCCAGTGACGACCATGTCCTACGTATGAAATAAGTACTATTACACAATGTTGGACAACGTGAAATGCTCAATTTTGCCAAGCAGAACAAAAATAAAATGAATGTTGTGAGTTTGCAAGTTCGGAGATGTCCATGTGTCTTCGTACTGGGATTGCAAAATATATATGCATGTATAGCAAGTAATTATTAAAGTGACTATGCCACCCAATCATAACATTATATTTTTACATCCCCAAGTAGTTACAACGTACTTGCGATTCCTATGCTAATTTTTTTTTATCCTTTCAGCACTTCATTAGTTGGCGCTTGGCAACTGCTCAAGTCGGCCAAATGTATTTCTTAACGCATCAAGATTTCTCCATCCCCAGTGGAAGTGTGGTGAGTTTAAACTTTCTTATGATATCCGTTTTGGTCTCCAAAAGCCTTTATTAATTAGTTCCTCACCATAAACATAAGATGATCAATTAAAAATTATATCTTGCCTGGCAGAAGGCAAGTGCGACTTCAGAGTGATGGACATTGCCCAAAGTAATCTCTCCACTATGCCTTGACTTGCTTCTTAAATTGTCAGATGTCTCTGGGTCCGTCCTCTTTCTTAAGATTGTGGTTGTGAATTTGCGAAGATAATTATTATTTGTTTGTTTGCTTGTTAAAGGGAAAGAGTGGCCTGTGTAATCTTATGCAATGATTGATGTCTTGAGCACTCTCAATTCTGACTTAAATTGTGGATTTCCCATCAAACGAGACGCCTCCTTATCACTAACATTTTGTTTTCCTTAGTTTGATTCTTCTGTGAAAAATGTGAGAACTATTTTATGTTGGTTATATATCTTAAAACACAAGATAATGGCAGCATATTACTTTCCTCAAAATGTTACAAAGACTATAAGTTTGTTTCTCATATAGAGATTGTATTAATTCAATAACAATAATTCCTTGATAAGTCTAGCATGCTTGAATGCATATAATTTCCATTATTTGACATTGGAAATCTGCATTTGAATATGAATTTGTGATATATGAATGACTTTGTTGAAAAAGTAAATGGTTGGGTTAGTAAGTTTGCAGATGATACAAAGATCAGTGGAGTTGTGGATAGTGTAGAAGGTGATCAAAGGATACAGCAGGATATAGATCAGTTACAGATATGGGCAGTGAAATAGCAGACAGAATTTAATCTGGGTAGGTGTGAGGCGCTGTCCTTTGGGAGATCAAACGTTAAGGAAAGGTATACAGTTAATGCCAGGATCCAGAACAGCACTGATTCCGAGGGATCTTTGGATTCAAGTCCATAGCTCCCTGAAAGTGCCTGCGCAAGTAGATAAGGTGGTAAGGAAGGTGTATGGCATGCTTAGTTTTATTTGTTGGGTAACTGAGCACAAGAGTCAGGGTACCATGTTACAGCTTTACAAAACGTTCGTTAAGTCGCACTTAAGAGTACTGCATTCAAATCAGGTCACCACATTACAGGAAGGATGTGGAGGCTTTGGAGAGGGTGCAGAAGAGGTTTACCAGGATGCTGCCTGGATTAGATAGTGTGAACTATAAAGTGAGTCTAGAAAAACTCGCTGTTTCCTCTTGAGCAGTGAAGCCTGACGGGAGATTTGATAGATATCTATAAAATTATGAGATGCATAGAAAGGGTTGATGGTCAGGGTTTTTTTTTTCCAGAGAAATGTCGAAAACCAGCGGTTATGCATTTAAAGTGAGAGGGGAAAAGTTCAAAGGAGATGTGAAGGGCATGTTTTTCACACGGAGTGGTAAGTCTGGAAAGTGCTGCCAGGGGTGGTTGTGGAAGCAGATGCCATAGGCGTGGTTCAGAGATTTTCAGATAAACACTCGAATTTGCAAGGAATGGAGAGTTATGGACCAAGGGCAGGCGGAAGGGATTAGTTTAATTTGACGTCATGTTCAACATCGTGGGCCGAAGTGCTGTACAGTTCTATGTTCTATGTTCTGAACAGCGCCTTGGCCTTCCAGCTACATTTGCAAAATAAGTCCCAACATTTGCTTTCCATTGGCATGGAAACTGGGTTAAATACAAATCCGGTTTCCTCATGGGGTGTCCACCCTAACTATGGTTAAATCTCTTGCTGTGACTCGTCAGACAAATAAATGCTTTGCGAAGATAAAGGCATCGTACTTTTTCACACACGTTGGCAGATCCTGATCATAGAGGGTGACTCCAATTCAAAGCTATGTCACCTTGTGCTCGATGAAGAATGGACGACCTGATGCAAAATATGTTATCCAGATCCTGCTGACGGTAGTATAAGCTCCTTTCTTGCTGTTTCCATTTACTACGTATGACAATCCATCTTCTATCATTTCAATTGCATCATTGAAACCATTAAACTTTAATGCAATCATTTTCTTGACAATAAGGCAGTGACACTTACTCCTTAGAGAAACTGAACTTAAAACATTTATGACAGAGTCCATAATATTGCTAAATTGAATAAAGGGTATTTATAAATCAGTTTACTTGATGGATACAGGCATTTTTGCCAATGACTTTGTTCTACCCTAATACAGCAAAAATATCAGCAGAGGAAATCGTATTCAAGTGGGGACTGCCTCCCATATGGATATAGATCAAGTGACCCATTTCAAGGGTAATTTTATTTAACGAGTGTGCGAGTAAATAAGAATTAAACAAACAAAAAAAAACAGAAAAAAAATACTTACCCTACCATCCACAAATCTTTGCATGGTTGTAAGCATGAATCGAATAACGAAAACTTTATATCAAAGACGACCCAGCAGACATGGGAAAGCTAGGCACCAGTCCTGCAGAATATCCTGGTGTGCTTGCGAGCTATCCCAAATAAGAACACAGGATTCACACTCTTTGAATCAATGGCCGGGTTAAACTATGAAATGGCTGGAAGGAATAACTGCCAGTGGGACCGGTATGAGATCACTTAAAAGCAGCATCCGTAAATGTGTCAGAAAATTGAGTAAACGGTTATACATGATTCGAAATGAAGTCAAGGACAGGCGCCCAGTTAAGGACATATGACGAGTTCAGCAGTTTGCAAAATAGCAGGTACCAGGGGTCGGAGATAGGGTAATGGTAAAGGTAGGCTGATTTCCACGATGGCATTTTATGTGACCATTATAACAGCTTTTATTTGTCTGCAGAAAGATGTGAAATTGGAGAATAGATGGAAATACTATTCATAATTAAAACTGAATATGGAAGATAATAGTACATAAGCCTGATCATGCAGCAATACATAATGATAAACATTACCAATTGAGACAGTTTATTCATTGTTCCAGTTCTCAAGAGTTCAAACACAAAACAAGTTTTTTCAGCTGTTCTGTTTTTCACTCAAATACCTCAAAATGCATTGAATTTACACTGACGAAACGATAGTTAGTCTAATTGAACGATTTTCACCAGCTGTATGTTTTCTTTCTTTCTTTAGGGTATCAAGTTTGCGGTTAGTCCATTTCCCAGTCAATGATTTTCAGTTGTCAGGCCACAGAAATCGTGAATCATTTTAATACATACATAAAACAATTTGTCATACATAAAATTGAATTTAGATGTCAAAAACGGTTTAACTTCTCATAAACCTTTCCCAAGAATTTCCACATGTTGTCTGCTTAAAATAATGAATTACATCTCACATTTAGCATCTACATGTGAATATGAAACCCCTTTTTCGATTTGACTTACTTAGAGTAACACTGCTCTTTCTTCGGAATGTGCAGCTGTCCAGAGACAATCACGTAGTGGGGCAAGTGTGTGTGGATTTGTTGGAGTCCTAATGGAAATGATGATTGTCTCGCTACCAGGAGACACATGAAAGACAGACTCCCAGATTGTATCTGTCAACTTCATCACAGTGAAAAGTAGGCAGGAGTTGTCTCTTAGCCGTTTTGCTCCAGCAGTGCTAGACCAGGCAGGAAGGCTGGATTAACTCTAGTTCAAGACGGGTCAGGTGATTGTAGGGGAGTCATTTTTTTAATTATGATCTGCCTTGAGCAGATGAAATGTGCCATGACTGTAAAAAAAAAGTGAGGCATACGTAAGGTTTAGGAAAGTGAAGACAGTCTGAGCCCTCCAAGAACACAAAGATAGCAGGAAAGAACTCAAACAAAGAACGAGGGCTAAAGGGGGCCATGAAGCGTCTATGACAAACATGATTAAGGAAAGTCACAAGGCTTTTATACATATATAAGGAGGAAGAGGGTAGCTAGATAAACGGTAGATCCACACAAGGATAAAGGAGGGAATTTATGCGACGATCCAGGGGAAGTGGATGAGGTCCTTAACGAATACTTTGCATCAGTATCCACAAAGGAGAAGGTCATGGTGGATGATCAGTCTTGGGAGGGGTATGTTGATATTCTAGGGCGTGTTAATATCAAATTAGAGACAGTGTTTTGTGTTTTGAAA